CAGGATTTGAAATAGCTCAACTGGCATTCCATCACCTCCACTCGCTTTGTTTGTACTGATGCTTCCTAAGGCCCACTTGACTTCACATTCCAGGATGTCTGGCTCTAGGTGAATGGGCACACCATTGTGGTTATCTGGGTCATGAAGATCTTTTTTGTACAGTTCCTCTGTGTATTCTTGCCACCTCTTCTTAATATCTTCTGCTTCTCTTAGGTCCCCACCATTTCTGTCCTTTATTGAGCCCATCTTTGCATGAGATGTTTCTGTGGTATCTCTAATTTTCTTGAAGAGATCTCTAGTCTTTCCCATTCTATTGTTTTCCTCTGTTTCTTTGCATTGACTGCTGAGGAAGGCTTTCTTATCTCTCCTTGCTATTACCATCTGGTGATGTCCATGTGCAGAGTCTTCTCTTGTGTTGTTGGAAGAGGGTGTTTGCTATGACCAGTGCTTTTCCCATATACTTCATTACAGAGAACTGAGTAGAGTTCCCTGTGCTATACAGTAGGTCTTTACTAATTATCTATTTTATATATAGTAGTTATATATTTCATCCAAATCAGCCCTTTCATTAAATTTTTTTCCCACACTTTTTGAGTGACAGTCTCTTTCTTGCTATGACTCTGATTCACATGTCGCATCTACTTTAATGATTAAATACTATGACATCAAGATTTGTAGACATGAACATATAATCAAAATGGCTACAGAACTTTGACTACAAAATATCTGTCAAAAACACTGTCTAATGTTCAACTAGGTATAATTTGTTTATTTTTGCTTTTATTTCTTTTGTCTTTGGAGACAGATCCAGAAAAAAATATATTGCTACCATTTATGTTATAGAGTGTTCTGCCTATGTTCTCTTCTAGGAGTTTTATGGTTTCAAGTCTTAGATTTAGATCTTATCTATTTTAAGCTTGTTTTCCTATATGATGTGAGGAAATGTTCTAATCTCATTCTTGTACATGAAGCTGTCCAGATTTCCCAGCATCACTTATTGAAGAGACTGTCTTTTCTCCAGTTGTTTTTTTCCCTCCTTTGTCATAGTCTATTAATAATTGATCACAGTCAATGGCTTTATTTCTGAGCTTTCTATTCTGTTCCATTGATCTATGTGTTTGCTTTTGTGTCAGTACCATGCTATTTTTGTTTTTATTTTTGTTTTATTTTTAATAATATATTGTAATCTTATAAATTCATAATGTTACTATTTCAGCATGTAATCCATATTAAAATTGAGATATTTTACTTTTTCATATTAAGTCTGATATCTGGCATGTATTATGTTTGGACAACACATTTAAATTTGGACTGGCCACATTTCAAGTGTTCATTAGCCTCATATGGCTAGTCGCTATCTATTGAACAGTACAATTCATAAGTAATTGAAAGTAAATACATTTTGGGGGAATTCCCTGGCAGTCCAGTGGTTAGGAGTCAGTGCTTTTACTGCCTGAGGGCTTAGGTTCAGTCCCTGGCTCCTGTTTTTGTTTCTGTAGTTTTCTGGCATAGTCTGAAGTCAAGACACATGATACTTCCAGTTTTACTCTTTTTTCTCAAGATTGCTTTACCAGCATTATTTACACTAGCCAAGATATGGAAGCAACCCAAGTGTCCATCAACAGTTGAATGGATAAAGAACATGGGGTATGTATATACAATGAAATATTACTCAGCCATAAAAAGAATGAAATTCTGCCAGTTGTAACACCATGCATGGACCTAGAGTGTATTATACTTAGTGAAATAAATCAGAGAAATACAAATACTACGTTTTTACTTATATGTGGAATCTAGAAAATAAAGCAAATGAATGTATGCAACAAAACAGAAACAGCCTCACAGACATAGAAAACAAACTAGTGGTTACCACTGGGAGAAGAAAGGGGGAGACTCAAGATAGGGCTATAGAATTAATAAGATACAAACTACTATGTATAAAATAGATAAGCAACAAAGATATATTATACAGCACAGGACAATGTAGCCATTATTTTGTAATAACTTTAAAAGAAGTATAATCTATAAAAATATTGAATCACTATTCTATATACTTAAAACTAATATGACATTGTAAAGGAACTATATTTGAATAAAAAACACATACCACCTAAAAAAATAATCACATATGTATTTTTACAAATATACAAACAATCTTTTTGTATACAAACAATCTGTAACAATAAAATACAATTCAAAAAATGTTATGATTAACAAAAAATACTGTTAAATGAAGATTAAAGGAAAAAATGGTAGGGAGAAGACTGAATCGTCAAAGAACTGTCAGTAGCATAAATAACTCAAGAATGCTTAATTTATGAAATAAATGAAAAATAAGGGATAGAATAAACTTCTGGATATGCAAAAGGGAATAAAAAGAGTAACTAATCAAATATAAGTAGTAAATGTTTGCAAAGAAGTAATATATGTATATATTTCTAGCCATGAGGCTCTAAACAGAAATTACCTTTTAATTCAGTTTACAGGGTCTCTCTCAACCTATGGATTAATATATTGGTTAATATTAATGAAGCATTTTCCAGTATTGATTTAAGAATTAGTAGGAACATACAGACACATGTATTTTATAAACATGACCTGAAAGCCACATTATTTCTAAGGGCTCCAAACTTGTCAGGTCTCATTAATTTTAAACTTAACAGAAAATGAAGGTTGATTTTATTCACTTCACAAATGTTAAAACATGTTTTCTCTAACTTTAACATCTCACATACCACACTATTATCATACTTAGGTTTATTAATGGGTTGCTACTGTTTCACTGAAAACATGCAGAATTTTAACTTCTTGGTTTTCTTATCCATTTCATTACTTTTTATTACAAATTGTGAAAATACAAAAAGTGAACATTAACACCTGAATTCAGTGTTACTATTCACTATATGTGTCCATATTTACTCTGGAGACATCCTATTTTTTATTTATTTTTTTTCATTTTTCCATGTGAGCTAAAGCACTATACAAACTGAAAAAGGTCCATTGTTTAACCTCTAATTATATTTCGCTGTATTACACAGTGCAATAGATAAGAAAGCATCAGCTCCGAGATTAACATTTCATAAGAGTTCAATAAATACTAGCTGAACTGAAATCTAAGCATATATCAGGCTTAACTTTGAGTTTCATTTAGTATATTTCAATAAAATAAATGTACCCATATATTTTTATTAGCATATTATTTTTGAAATTAGGTATTTAAATCTTGTATCTACTTTAAAATGTAGACTATACCATTTCATGGTAATATAAGTTCAATCCATCTAATTTATACACTGTACTAACTGAATTATATGAAATATATGTATTCTAAAGTAGCACAAGAAGTCTTTCTCCTTCTGGTGTTTTTTAATAAAAAAGCAGCGAGTCCACTTCTAAAGTGTCTGATTGGGGAGGTGGCAATTAGGTTTCATTTGCTTATACAAAGTCGATGTGTTATTTCATCTTTACACATACAAGAAAAAATAGAACTGAGAATAAGAATTGGAGAGTAAAACCCCCTCTGTCATAGGAATAGGGATAAGAAGGCATAAACTAATCATCATGTAGAAATTTTAAGATTTTTCTCTTTTTTACTTGGAAAAGTTCACCCATGCAAATTTTAAAAACCTATTAGAGACTACAGAATTATGACAGGGAAATGAAGTAGTCTAGAGTCAGGTTTAAAATACTGAAATGTTAAAATGTTGAGAAGCTTAGTGATGAAAATCTTCCAATGCTAAGCTATCTCTGGCTCAGGATTACCTTCATCACAACATATGATACTGTATTTATTACCATCACTGCAATTCAAAGAATACTATCTCTCCTGTCAGGCCTCCTAGGGGGCCTTACATCTGATGGTTTAAGGATAAAAAGTGTATGAGACATTAAGAACAATTTCAATTAGTCAAAAATATTCCAATGGGCAATCATTCTTCATAATTGAGTCTCTGTGTTGTTTGCCCATGTGAGCCTCCAGATTTGTTTGCTTGTTTTGAATTCTCAACTCCTGCCTTGTCACTAAGTCCTCTTATATCCTCATTTCTCCAGATTAACACAATTTTGTACCCAGAAAAACGATGCTAACTGCTGCTAAATTTCCTGCTGCTGCTTCATGCTGTCTTTACTCTCTTCACATTGCTTGCATATAAAATGTCTTACAAGCCTCCATCTGTCTTGTAGGTCTTTTATACACACACACACACACACACACACACACACACAATATTCTTGAAAGTTAAAATTCCATGAATGGGTAAAACAGTGGGCTGGAGAGACAATTTAGGAATTGGAGAAAATATCTGAAAAAATTATACAGAATATATCACAGAAAAACATTGAGAAAAATATGAAGTAGATATTTTTTAAATGAGGGATAATATGATAAAGTCTAACATATACTTGGAGTTCTAGAAGATGAGAATAGAGAAAATGAAGAAGTACTGTTTGAAAATAGGTGAAAATCTTCCAAAATTGATAGAAGACATGAATCCTCAGATTCAGGAATCACAATGAATTACAAACAGAATAATTAAAAGACAATTCACACATACAAATATTGTGGAACTGCAGAATGACACATTTTTAAAGCAGCAAGGAAAAAAAGGATTACCTACAAAGGAATGACGAACTAATAAAAATAGAAGCCAGAAGACAGTAAAATAATATATTCAGGATATTAAGGAAAAAATTGCTAATCTAGAAGTAAATATTTAGTTAAGCCATCATTCAAGAAATGTACTTTAGACAAATAGAAATTAAGAGAATTTATCACTACGGCACCCTTTCTAAAGGAACTTCTAAGTAAATACATCAGGAGGAAATAAAACTATCCCAGAAAGAATGTCTGAGATGCAAGAAGGAGTCCTGAGCCAAGAAACTGAAAGATATAAAGAAAAATAAAATTAAAATAAGATAAATTTAAACATTACTTCATGAATGTTAGAGAATACACATACATACCTTTTGAGTTAGTGCTTTTGTTTTCTATGGATAAATACCCAGATGTGGAATTGCTGGGACATCTGGTAGTTCTGATTTTGAGGAGTCTCCATACTGTTTTCCATAGTGGTTTCCCCAATATACATTTCCACCAACAGTGCATAGGGATTCCCTTTCTCCTCATCCTCTCCAACACTTGCCATTTGTTGGTCTTTTGATAACAGACATTTTAACAGGTGTGAAGTGATATCTTACTGTGGCTTTCATTTGCATTTCCCTGATAATTAGTGAGCAACTTTTTATGTATCTGTTGGGTGTCCACACATTTTCTGTGGGAAAAATAAAGTCTATTTGGGTGCTCTGCCCACTTTTTAATCCAATTCTTTTTGCTACTGAGTTGTATGAGTTCTCTACATATTTATCCCTTATCAGATATATGATTTGCAAATATCTTCTCCCATTCGGTAGGTTGCCTCTTCATTTTGTTATAGTTTCCTTTACTATGGCTTTTTAATTTGATGTAGTTCTACTTGTTTACTTCTTCTTTAGTTACCTTTTTTTTCATATCAAATTCAAAAAAAATTAATTGATCTCTATATTTTATGTTAGTTCTCCTCGGATGTCTTGGATTCTTTGCTTTCATGCTCATATGTACCAAGATGAAATCAAAAAGTGAATTGGAAGTATTCCAATACAAAAAGTGAATGTATTTGGATAGGGCTTGTCAGCTTCGAGCATATTATAAAGTTATTTGGTTTGGTTGTTTCTTGGGGGAACCCTGATGTCAATATGTCTGGGACATTCCTCCTGAGCTTGTTGAGTTCACTTGGATCTTTCACTATCCTGCCTGGCAGATAAAGTCCTGGCTGTCAACTTTCAAGAAGCAAAATGGAGGAGAGTTGGGATCACAGTATTCTTACTGAAGTTTTTAATACGGTGTTTTATGAATTTATCTGTTCCTGGGTTTCTCAGTCCAAAGAGATTCTACTTTACCCCCTCCATAGAATAAAACTTCAGTCTACTGATGAAGTGGCACTGGAATATTTGCCAGTTGATTGAAGTGAAGGAGGAAGGAGGAAGATTCCAGAAATATGATTGAGTTTCAATGCAATACACCAGCAGCTTGATTCTCTCTTTCAGAGGTATCTGGTGCCCTTCAGGATGTTTCAGTATAGACTGGGCTGTTTCTCAGCTCTTGCCACTGCCAGTTAACAATTCTGTTTTCTCTGTTAGCCACATCACTTGGCATTTTCCTCCTGTTTTTCAACTGACAAAATATGCCACTGTTTTCTTTTTCCTCTCCCATTCTCCACACCTTAATATAGTTTTAGTATAGAATAGAGGTTAAAAATACCATTACTTCTTTTCTTCATGGGATTTTGGGAGAAAGGAAAACTAGCTGTGGGTATTCTACTTTGTAGTCTTACAAAAAGTATCCTGATTTTCCTTTATCTTTGCTATCCTTTCAGAAAATATCTACCAGGGTTATAATATCTTCTTAAAATTATTCTATTATTAATATTTATTATGCTACTATTATAGTTCATTGTAACTATTATCACATTTTCTAATCCCTAATTCACAGCACAACAACCCCTCAATAAACTTATACCTTAGTATTCTTAAACTTACATAACATAAACCACCTACTGAGTTAATATTTACTAATAATTTAACACATGTCAGTTATCTTACAAGCAGTGGGAATCAGTTCAGCTCAGTTCAGTTCAGTCCCTCAGTCGTGTCCGACGATTCACGACCTCCATGGACTGCAGCACAGCAGACCTCCCTGTCCATCACCAACTTGCTCGGTTTACTCAGACTCATGTCCATTGAGTCAGTGACGCCATCCAACCATCTCATCCTTTGTCGTCCCCTTCTCCTCCCGCCTTCAGTCTTTCCCAGCATCGGGGACTTTTCCAGTGAGTCAGTTCTTCACATCAGGTGGCCAAAGTATTGGCTTTTCAGCTTCAATATCAGTCCTTCCAATCAATACTCAGGATTGATTTCCTTTAGGATAAACTGATTGGATCTCCTTGCAGTTCAAGGGACTCTTAAGAGTCTTCTCCAATACCACAGTACAAAAGCATCAATTCTTCAGCGCTTGGCTTTCTTTAGAGTCCAACTCTCACATCCATACATGACTACTGGAAAAACCATAGCCTTGACTAAACGGACCTTTGTTGGCAAAGTAATGTCTCTGCTTTGTAATATGCTGTCTAGGTTGGTTATAATTTTTCTTCCAAGGAGCAAACGTCTTTTAATTTCATGGCTTCAGTCACCATCTGCAGTGATTTTGGAGCCCCCCCAAAATAGAGTATGTCACAGTTTCCCCATCTATTTGCCACAAACTAATGGGACCAGATGCCATGATCTTAGCTTTATGAATGTTGAGCTTTAAGCCAAGTTTTTCATGCTCCTCTTTCATCTTCATCAAGAGGCTGTTTAGTTCTTCGCTTTCTGCCATAAGGGTGGTATCATCTGCATATCTGAGGTTATTGTTGTTTATTCCTGCAATCTTGATTCCAGCTTGTGCTTTATCCAGCCTGGCATTTCTCATGATGTACTCGGCATATAAGTTAAATAAGCAGGGTGACAATATACAGCCTTGATGTACTCCTTTCCCGATTTGGAATTAGTCTATTGTTCCACCTCCAGTTCTAACTGTTGCTTCTCGACCTGCATACAGATTTCACAGGAGGCGGGTCAGGTGGTCTGGTATTCCCAGCTCTTTCAGAATTTTCCAGTTTGTTGTCATCCACACAGTCAAAGGCTTTGTCATAGTCAAAGCAGAAATAGATGTTTTTCTGGAACTTTCTCTCTTTTTTGATGATCCAACGGATGTTGGCAATTTGATTTCTGGTTCCTTTGTCTTTTCTAAATCCAGGTTGAACATCTGGAAGTTCACGGTTCATGTACTGTTGAAGCCTGGATTGGAGAATTTTGAGCATTACTTTGCTATCGTGTGAGATGAGTACATTTGTGTGGTAGCCTGAACATTCTTTGGCATTGCCTTTCTTTGGGATTGGAACGAAAACTGACCTTTTTCAGTCCTGGGGCCACTGCTGAGTTTTCCAAATTTGCTGGCATATTGAGTGCAGCATTTTCACAGTATCATCTTTTAGGATTTGAAATAGCTCGGCTGGAATTCCATCACCTCCACTAGCTTTGTTCCTTGTGATGATTCCTAAGGCCCACTTGACTTTGCATTCCAGAATGTATGGCTCTAGGTGAGTAATCACACCATCATGATTATCTGGGTAATGAAGATCTTTTTTGTATAGTTCTTCTGTGTATTCTTGCCACCTCTTCTTAATATTTTCTGCTTTTGTTAGGTTCATACCATTTCTGTCCTTTATTGTGCCCATGTTTGCATGAAATATTCCCTTGGTATCTCTAATTTTTTTGAAGAGATCTCTAGTCTTTGAAGCCCCAGCAAGATGGTAGGAGAGGTGAAATGACATTTAGAATCAAACCCCATACCCGCAAGAGATGGCTCAGACATACCTTGTATGCACCAGGACCCAGAGACCCCAGAGAGACTGAGACAGAACAGTGTTTGAGTGTTTCCTGAGGAGGTACGGGCCAGCAGTGGACCGCCGCAGGGGCAGGGGCTCTGGGTGCAATAGACCTGGGTATGGTATAAGCCCTCGTGAAGGAGGTTGCCATTAACCCCACCACAGAGCTGTGAGAACTTACACAGGACTGGGGAAATAGACTCGTGGAGGGCACAAACAAAACACTGTGTGCACCAGGACCAGGAGAAAGGAGCAGTGAACCCACAAGAGATGGACCCAGAATAGCCCATTAGGGTCCAGGAGTCTCCGGTGGGGCCAAGGGTCGGCGCTGGCCTGCTGCAGGTTAGTGGCACTGAGTGTAGCAGTGCATGCATGGGACCTTTTGAAGGAGGTCACCATTATCTTCATTACCCCCACCATAGTTTGGCCTCAGGTCAAATAAAAGGGAGGGAACTCAGCCCCACCCATCAACAGAAAATTGGATTAAAGATTTACTGAGTATGGCCCAGTAAATTGAGAAAACTAAGATCATGGCATCTGGTCCCATCACTTCATGGCAAATAGATGGGGAAACAGTGGAAACAGTGGCTGACTTTATTTTGGGGGAGCTCCAAAATCACTGCAAATGGTGACTGCAGCCATAAAATTAAAAGATGCTAACTACTTGGAAGAAAAGTTATGACCAACCTAGACAGCATATTAAAAAGCAGAGACATTACTTTGCCAACAAAGGTCTGCATAATCAGGGCTATGGTTTTTCCAGTAGTCATGTATGGATGTGAGGGTTGGATTATAAAGAAAGCTGAGTGCCAAAGAATTGATGCTTTTGAACTAGGGTGTTGGAGAAGACTCTTGAGAGCCCCTTGGACTGCAAAGAAATTCAACCAGTTCATCCTAAAATATATCAGTTCTGAATATTCATTGGAAGGACTGATGAAGCTGAAATTCCAATACTTTGGCCACCTAATGTGAAGAACTGACTTATTTGAAAAGACCCTGGTGCTGAGGAAGAGTGAAGGAAGGAAGACAAGGGGACAAGAGAGGATGAGATGGTTGGATGGCATCACCGACTCAATGGACATGAGTTTGAGTAAACTGCAGGAGTTGGTGATGGACAGGAAGGCCTAGCATGCTGCAGTCCATGGGGTCACAAATAGTCGGACATGATTGAATGACTGAACTGAACTGAGCATGGCACTGCCCATCAGAACAATTCCCAGTTTCCTCCTCAGTCAGACTCTCCCATCAGGAAGCTTCCATAAGCCTCTTATCCTCTCCATCAGAGGGCAGACAGACTGAAAACCACAATCACAGAAAACTAACTAATCTGATCACATGGACCACAGCCTTGTCTAACTCAATGAAACTATGATCCATTCCGTGTAGGGCCACCCAAGATTGACGGGTCATGGTGGAGAGTTCTGAAAAAATGTGGTCCACTGGAGAAGGGAATGGCAAACCACTTCAGTATTCTTGCCTTGAGAACCCCATGAACAGTGTGAAAAGGCAAAAAGATAGGATACTNTTTTTTGCTTTCTGCTATAAGTGTGGTATCATCTGCATATCTGAGGTTATTGATATTTCTCCCAGCAATCTTGATTCCAGCT